TATTGTCTGAAGAAATTTACCTGCCAAAAACATAAATATGCATATCTATCATGTGGGCCTAAAAGTTTTTTTTAAGTCACTAGATAACCTTATCACATATTTTGAAAATCAGACAAAGAAAAGTGTTTATAAACACCAAGTAAGCTTAAAAAAACAAACAAAAAAAGTATTCATTAATATTTTTGCCTCAATTCAAACTACATAAATTAATCTTATTATTAAATTTAATAAAAGAAAATAGCAGATGCACACACAGTGGATTAGATTAATAAATGACAGATGCTGTGTATGAATCATTCACAAATAGTGATCTAATTAACAGCTTCAGAGGAAAAAAAACATTATATAACATTATATATTATTTCACCTTGTAATTTAGGGCAGAATCAGTGGAAGCTTTGCTCATATGCGAGTCATTTCCAAAGGGAAAACAGACCTCAGTCAGTCTCCTCTCAGACTGCAGGCAGTTTTGCTGCATGGCAAGGCTGACCGACTGGTGCCTGTCAATGCTTTGGAAGTGAGAGGAGCTCACAGCAGCACTTGTTGCTTACTGAAGGCAGCAAATTCAGTGTGCTCTGTGCATTCCGTGACTTTTGCAAAAGTCGGACAAACATCATTGAAAAGGGTAACTAGATTCTAGGACTGGCCAATGAATTGAGTTTATTAATTAATCGGATAAACTGTATGTTGTCCATTTCATTGTGTTTTAAAGTTATTAATACAATGTAAGTTTTACACTTTGAGGACCCCGTACAGACTAGCAACCACTTTGTGGGAGATAATGATATGAAAAATAAACTAAATTAATAAATCAATTGTTACATTGTTGTTTCCTCTGCATGTTCTGCATGTTGCATGAAAATATTACATTGAGATCTTATAATACTCAGTGTACTAGTAATGTATCAAGTTACAAACTTATTACAAGTTTCCCGGATCCTTATATGCACCCTAGCTGTGTTTCCCAATAACTTTAGAGAACCATCACAGGCAAACATGTCTTTTCATCAGATTTCACCATACATGTTCCACACCATTTAAAAATTGTTAAATGGTGCTTTAAAACAACAAATTGTGTAATTTTTATGTAAAAATTTCACCTACCTGCTCTCCTCGTTCATCAAGCTGAAGAGTCCCATTGTCTTGTCGCTGATAAGCTGGATGCAGTCACTGTTGTCAGTAAAGTCAATGTTCTGCCAGGTTATACCTTCTGACACGTAGTCCTCCTACAGTTGAATACAATTGTATTTAGGTAATAAACTCTTTGGAAATTAGTAAATGTTTTGCTCTGCAATGAATCTGGGACTTTATTCTTCAACCAAAACTAAATTCAAGTGACTGTGGAAATTTAAAGACTGTCAGTTTCATAGAAATATAATAACAGAAAACACTAGAAATTACCTGTTTAAACTTAAAGATGTTCTGATTGATGTAAAACTGCTGCTTCTCACAGGCGTAGTTGATGCACAGCTGCTCAAAACTGTTTTTCTGGAGATTCTCAAATCCAAACATGTCCAGGACACCAATGGACAAACACTGAAAACAATACATTAACTCTTAAAAAGTCAGCATTTGATATAGATGTATTACTGTGTACAACAACATCCACAAACATTTATTGAAAGATAAGCAAAATATAGAAAACAAGATTTAACTCTTTAGGGGAACGAAAGCCCTACTGGTAGAGCTTTCAATTGTAACATACGTAACTGAATGACATGACTCACAGAGACAGACTCCTCCATGTCTCTTCTGTTGAGCATAGCATGGTTAATGTGAAGCACGATCCAGTCAAACAGAGCGCTGTATAGAGACTTGGCCAGAGAGTCACGTGCAGAGTTGGCCTGAAAACATGAAGCAGCACCATCCAACTCAGCATGAATTAAAGTCCCTCTAAGTGTATTTGCAGCAGCCAATACAATTAATGCAAAACAATAATATAAATTGAACAAAAAAGACCAGAATAATTGAAGTTTAAGTAATAAAGGATCTTAGCAGCACTGGTAAACTGCTTATTACCTCTTGTAGTGTGTATGGTGCATCCACAGCAGAGGCGGCAGTTACGACTGTCTTTTTGGTTAAAGTCTTCACCAGGTGCTCCTTTTTCACCTACAGAAGTAAAAGTTCATCACAACAGTGATCACATCCATTACTTGGCTCTGATATCCTAGTTTCTATGAATTCATCCAGATTAAATAGTTTTGCTTCATTAGCATAAACCGAATCTGCTGATAAACAGTTTTAGCCATTGTTGGACCAAACAAAGACACAAATAGCATTTTGCTAAATAGAATTTCTGTCAATTGCATCTTTCATGGGTAATATCTATGATGAAATATGCTATAATGTGGGATACGGGATGTTACAGCATCAAGAATAATTTAGCTTTGCTTTTAGTTGCCTGTTATCACTGGACTAAATCATCATGGCCAAATAATTTAAATTCATGCTGAGCTGAGAGGATATCCATCAGTGCAAACAGATTGTGAGTATGGCCTTGATTAGGTTTAAGTAAAACCATTATCATATCAGCAGGGATACCAATTATTCTAGTCTATGTTGGATCTCTGAGCTGCAAAGCACAATCAATGGCATAATTTTGAAATATTCCTATTAAAAATATTTGGCTAGTTTGGCTTGCAACTGTTTCAGATGTGTAAAAAGATGCTAAATATCTTTACTTGCCAGTAAAACACAATGCAGTTATGTAGTAGAGTGACAGGGGTATCACAAATAGAGAACTACACTCTATGAAAACCAGCAGTGTTTAATAGTATGATTACCATGAGCAGATGTGACAGTGAAGATAAAACCTCCGTGGGTCCAGCTTCCAACACCTGAGTATCATTTGACAGATTGTATGTCACATTTCCCAGGAGTAGGATGGCAGAGAGGACAGAGAAAATGCTATAAAGTAAAAAAAGACACAAAAAAATACAATTTAATAATTTCTAAAGTAAAAATAACACAAATATGTTGAAGGATTGAGAGCTGAATGTCAACTAAGTAGTAGTTATCCTTTTCAAATAGTATCGGGGTTGTTAAAAGTTGTACTTTAAAAGAGTTTTAGCGTGATTTAATATATATCAGTTATTCTATAGCCGAGCTTCCAAAACATTTTCTTGAGTGTCCTCATGTCTCCATTTAATAAAAGGTCATGCCCCAATGCCAGCTGTCACAATCAAATGCACTAAAGTGAACATCTCACTACCGAAAATGATTATTATGAGTTCCAAATAAGGAACACTAAGCGCCAACACTTAATTATTACAGTAGGTTTCACTCAAAATAAAGTCACAGTGGCAGCTGTGGAAGTCACCTTGATTAAAGGTGGGGGTATAAATGAGAATGGAATGGCTTCTTCCCTCAAATGGAAAAACAAAGAAGTCATTACTATGTCACCACAGTGATGCCTCATTCGCATGGCTGCAGCTCTGTGGCACTGGGTAACATAAAATCAAAAATTTACCCCTTTCTTAAAACAAATGTATATAGTCAGATAAAACTTTTTCAAAAAGGACATTCCCTTTAGGAATTAATACATTTTTTTCTATACCTAACTGATTTTCTGTCAGTGTGATGAAGATGTAGCAAACCAGTTCCACTGGTTTGCTGCGGAACTGGAGCTGGTGAAGATTCTCAGTCATCCATGTCATAGTCATTCCAAACAAGTTAAAAAAAACAATCTACTGGACTCTGTTTCAAAATTTTAAGATGTTTCACTTCCCACACAAATGTTCATTAGAACCTCACAACACAAGGCTGAGCATGTCCATGCTAAAAAAAGAAGGGAAGCACAAAGACAAGAAACACATGAATGATGCTCTCCAAACCTGTGGATACCCAAACTGGGAGTTTGTCAAACCAGCAAGGAAATCCAAAAGACACACAGCAGAACACAACGGTAAGAAGATTAAACACAAAAAAAATCCAAATCCTTTAGGTCTCTGGAATCTCTGAGAAACTCAAGAGGATTTTCTCCAAACACAAAATCCCAGTACATTTAAAATCAAACAAGACCTTAAACAGAGACTAGTGCATCCTAAAGACAAAACCCCCAGACCAAATATGAGCGGAGTGGTGTATACAGTTCAATGCAGTGAACTGCATACACAGAAGCATGGCCCAACATAGAAGTGCGACCTCCTCGGGACAAGACTCGGCTGTACATCTACATCTTATGGACAAAGGACAATTCCCTCTAACGACCCCCCTTCAGACACATAGACGGGTAATGCAAGAACCCAATCGACCCCCCATTCCTAAGGGGCGTACCTGTTGGTCCGGTTAAATTTGCATGTTTTCTAAGTCAAAACAAGGCTTCGTTTTTTGGTCCACTCTAAAAAGCCTCAAACTCAACACGATTTGTGACATTTTGAAAGGAAAAAGCTTCCTGAATGGGAAGTGAAACATGTTCAAACTTGGAAACAAAGTCCAGTGGACTGTTTTTTAACTTTTTTGCAGGGAACGTGTTTCCTCCTCCATTAGGTCTCCATCACACGTGCTGCCAAATTCCAGTGAGACTGCACTGATTCAAACTCACTATTTAATGGCTGGGTAGTCCACTCACCCTACACACTACATGGTTTGGGACGGCCGTTATGTGCATTATGTGCCCATAATGGGGCAGACCCTGCGCAGGAATGTGCAGACAGAGGGTTAGTGCTTAGGGTTAGTGTTTACAGCCTGGTTTGGGATTCAGCCTCACTGGAATTTGGCAGGGGTGTAATGGAGAACTAATGGCGTAGGAAACGCATGCATATAAAGGTTAAGTTCTGCTGGTTCACTGCATCTTCGTCACAGTCACAGAAAATCACAGTTTAGGAAAAATAAAAAAGACAATTAATTCCATAGGGAAAAGTCCTCTATACACTAGCTTCATTTGACTCAACTCTATTTTTATAAGAGAGGCAAATGTCTGATGTCATATCAGCAACATGGTGCATCACTATGTTGCCATAGCAATGACGGTTTTCCTTTTCCATTTGAGGGAAGGGGCTGTCCCAGTCTGATTCATAGCCGCCCACCTTCAATCAAGGCACAATCCACAGCTGAGAGTTTGACAGCACTGAGAGTGACACTCCCCAGGTCTTATTTTGTATTCCTTCATTGAAGCATGTCTGACTTTAATTCTTCATTTTTATAGAATTTTCATTTATTAATAATTTATGCAGATTCAAACAGTAAATGGCCTATTCTTTACACTACATTCAGTGAATTACCCATTAACACATTCACTGATGATGGCAAAAAACATTGTAGCCACAGCTCCCCTGGGGCTCAAAGACCGAAGCGAGACGCTACCCCTCTGACCAATGGCGTAACGATACAACAATAGGCCTGCAACACGTGATAAAAGTTCATGATATGGCGACAATTCCATAAATTGGCCAAGAAGATACAATTATGCAATTCTCAGAAGTATATGATCACACATCACACCCGGAAAAATAGTGACTGCACACCTTGAATGGAACCATTGGTGACAGCGCACCACCGCATGTTACAGACATCCCAAGTTCCGAAAACTCATTTCAGGGAGATGTTTATCGAACCCCCAACCCTGCCATAGAAAAACGACCCAATACGTGCCCCATACATATATTACACACATAATCATTCTTCACCTTCACTAGACATGGTTATGCTTTAGTATATTAGCACAACAAGCCATGGGGCTACCTTCAGCTTAAAGGCTCCCCTCCTCACCTGCGCTCTGTCCATTCATCTCCTGGTCGCAATCTTTACTCACTGTAGCAGCAACGTCCAACTCCCTCTCTTCGGATTTTTGAAAGAACATTTTTATTTTGGGAAGTTTTTTCCGTTCTTCCAGCAGCTCTTCTTTCCTTTTTCTTTTCTGGAATCCGCGTAAGTACCTCTTTTTGATATCCCTCGTCGCTAACACATTGTTCGTAATGGTTATGGTTTTAATCTACGCTCCGGGTTACGTCGTAGTGTAAAAAATAAAATACTATTGTGGTTTGAAACATATTATATGGGTGTATTTTTTTTTTTTACCAACCGTCTAAATGACTATACAGTCATTAACATAGTAATTAAAAGTAACACTATCTGCTTTGCTATTGGCGTCGTGTTTAAACGGCTCATCATCATGTTGAAATCTGGCATGTGTTGCGGTATAAATACGGTCCAGTGCGGTCAGTAACTTGAGTATCAGGTGGGTTTAAGAGGAGTTTTTCGCACCATCTGCAAAGAGACGTCCTAGTCCACAATTGTGTAGGGGGCCCACCAGGCGTCAGTGATTGGGCCCCTAAGAGGCATGGGCCCTTAAGCAACTGCTGTCTCTGCTTACTGATATTTACGCTATTGCCTCTGACCACGATCAGTAGACAATAAACAGTCAACCATTTCATGTCAGTGAAAAATCCTACACCCGACGCAAAGATTCAAGTTATTTCCATGACCATGGTTGTTTTTTCTTTTAATAACCAAGGGGTACAAACAATTTTGTCCCCATGTTCACAGTATTTCGCATATGTACTGAAGGTAATAATCTTTTTAAAAGCCAGACCCTGTATAGACAAACATGAAATTTGCCTAAATTTCATGATTACACAATTCATTTCTCAAACTGTTGTGGAGTTAAAATGTGAACTGGTCCAAGTTGTTCTCTGCCTCACTCAGAAATGTTCAAAACACCTTTAATACTTCTAAATTCTAAAATTAAATAAATATAGATACAAATATGAAAAATAAGAAACGTAAATCTAGGGTTAGAGAAATCACATGATGGAAACGGATAAAAACAACAAAACAGGAAATATCTGCATCTCAAGTGGTGTTAAAGGCCAGAAAAACAGATGAGTTTTTGGTTGTAAAATCAGAGAGAAAAGGCTTATCCAAATTGTAAGAGTAGGCCATTCTACATCTTAGAAGCTACAAGTGAGCAACACCTGTAAATAATTATTTTTGTGTAAGTAGTGATTAGTAGGAGCAAGGAACAGCACTGAGGGATATAGTAGCTTACAAAGACATAAACCTGGGTTTGTCCTGGTTTATAGGAGTCTACAGGTTAAAGACATGCTGCCCTACCCTTCCCCTGGGCAAAGACAGTCACTCTATGCTGTATTCCTGTGTAAGATTACTATACAGTGATAATCTACTTATCAGCTGATGACTGTCAACCTGATCAGCTAAACATCTGCTTGTAGGATGAGCTGCAAATTTTACTGATCGGCGATCAGTTGAATGAAACGTGTAGTAATTGGAGGACGTGATCCGGCAAAAGCAATGAGATCAAAGACAGACAAGCTGCATTCTTTGCATCCATTTGAGAAAAAAAAGATATAGAAAACGTATAAAACCAGAAATAAAAGTTTTAGTAAAACCTACTATCTGAAACATTTGATCAATTTTTTTTAATAGCTTGTAGTCATAAAAAGCCTAAGAGCAGGCTAACTATTTTTTGCTATTAAAATAAAATTACCTATTCTGCAGGACATTGTCTTTCATTTTCTTTTAGCCTGGAAAGACAAAAACTTAAAGCTGACTGAAAACAAATCTTCAAACTGAGAGCAATGCTTTAATCTTTAAGTTAAGCAGCAGTATGACAGCCTCTAGTGGTGTGAAAGCTCAGGGCAATCTGTAACTTGTTTGAACTTATCTCACCTTAAACTGACTGGGAAAAACATTCAGAAATGAATCCATTTAACCTAGTGTACATAAAAGACATAACAGGATTATCAAGTTACCCCATAATCAAATGTGGTTTTATATCTAATCAATATAACTGATTAATTGCAACCTGAGCATTTCTAATTTAATATCCTTGTCTGAATATTCACCGGTGGATCGAACCTAAACAGGCTACTAAATACACTGCTTGGGCTTTCATCTACTCGTTATGTCCTGAGGCGTTCAGGGGAGCTGGCTGGAGAATGTGCTGCATTTTTCTCCAGCTCCAAAGTGACAAGCTCTAACCTGTTACCAACACCAGTATAGAAAGCAGAAACTACTCGACAGAGTTTGGTTTCAGTTACACTTTGCTCGTCGTCTGCACAATCTTTGACGGCAAACGGGTGTAAACTTTAATCGAGGCGAGAGAAGCGTGTAAACAGGGTAAAAGCAAGGTAGTGTGTGTGTATGTGTGTGATCTTTATTCTATCGCTGATGATAACGTTTGGTAGAAAGTAATTAATTGAGCGTTAAACTGCAATTACAAGCTTAAGATTTCTTTAAAAACTCAAATTAAAGAGATCTTTAAAAACAAGATGCAAAGTGGTGCACCATCTCATCTCATTTTTTTTTTTTTTAATGGGGGAAAACTTTGCTAAGGCTTGTGGTATTTCAGATATGTTGCTTCCAACCGCATGTACCGTTTCTTAGTGGGGGCCAAAAAGCCAACCATCTCCATAGCTTGCTTGAGTCTCTTGTACTCCTGTTTGAGATCGTCCACGTCATTCAGCTGAAGCTGTCCCTGCAGACAAAATGGATGAGAGAAATATTAGAAACTGATTGATTACTGTATCCTAAATAAAAATGACATCAAACCATTAAGTATTCAAAAGAGAGAGAACAAAAAAAGGGAAAGTCAAAGGAATGCTTACAATGTGGTTCCAGTAAAGACAGTACAACTACAAAAAGGAAAATATCAGTTTGTGTTTATTTTGATTCTTTACATAAGAGGACAAGATATAGACAAGTAAAAAAAAAAAATCTAAACATTGTAAGGAACGTTTTCATAATTTTAAGGGCCAAAAAAAAAATGAGGGTAGAATAGGTTTGCATATTTAACATTCTAGAAATAATATACAGTTTCAGACCAGCCATGTTTAAAACATTAGTGGGGAAAAGACAAATAAAGTACAACGTTTTACAAATAGTAATCGTCCATTTGCACTACATTTGTTGAATAACTGGCACTGCCAGGATAAGAAGTGTAAAACTGATGAGGGACGGTTGGACTGATCAGATTGAGAACTGTCTGTTGTTATGTGAGGATTTTTCTGTGAACAGCCTTGAACAAAAAGCATCTGAATTCACTGGAGAAGTTATGTCAGAGGGACTGATATTTTACAGACAAAGGAGGACCTTAAAGGGAGATGCTGCCATGCATTTCAGTGGATCTAATGTGACAAGCTCACCAAAGAAAGGGCTGCCAACAGATGGGTCAAAACGGGTAAGTCTAAGTCCTTGTCAAAGAAAAACGTTAGATATTGCCATTTATTATTAATAGAAACAATTCAAAATGAGTATGATGAAAATAAGGGATCAGTTTCAAATATCAGTCATTTTATTCCTATGAAACAATAGAAACAAGATCTGCTCAGTCTGTGAGAAGCAGATCTCAGAAATTGTTTCAATGATTTATGCTATTATATGGTGTAAACGTAGCATCTAAAAATATCTGCCTGAGGATTGAGATACATTTTACATTAAAGATAAAAAACTACTTTAACACACTTTTAATACTTTTTTTTAAAGAGACCCTGATTTATATGTTTTAATATTGAATTTATAAAAAAACCTAGAAGACTGAAATGTAAATGGAGGGGGGCCCACTGAAATAAATGCATCACTACAGTTTTTAAGGTTGTAATAAATTAGTTTTATGTACACTAGGTTACAGATACTGTCTTCAAGTCCTAAACTCCTCTGTTACTGCAGTGGCACTGTCAGCCCTGCTACATGTTTGAAAATTTAAACTGTATTCTTAATGTGAGGTCTGCTATCTAATGAGAGTTTATGTTTAGATGCCAAGGTTTCTTTTTAACATCATAAAAGAGTGCATCAAAATCTCAAAATAATACATTGGAAGTCCTTTTCTTAAGGGAGATTTTTATCATATTTCTCAACAGCTGCTCATTTCAGAGCACAAAGAATAAACTTTATGGACAGGATTTCTAGTAGTGTTGCACCGAAACCGATACCAGTATCGGGCGGGGCCCCAATCCAGCCCTAAAATGGTGGTATCGGTATTGGCGAGTACCAACAAAAAGGGCACCGATACCATTTTGAGAGCCAAAGGTTTATTCAACTATTGTCATCCACTCCAGGTGGGCAATAAAAAGTTCTACTGAATTCACTTTCTATTAGCCTTTTTCCTGCTTTACAAAGGTAGGCAGCAGCTTGACAAAGCCATGATGGCAATTATGGCTTTTACATCCAAGTAGTATGCAGTTCTTCATATACACACACACACACACACAC